CAATTTTCACATGGTGGGTCATAATACTCTTATTAATAAAAATAAATTTGAAAGCTGAATAATAATTAATAACAACAGTAAATTAGAATTAATGTTGCGCAAAACCATTACAAAAAATGTTGTTAACCCAAAAAACACAAAGACACAATGAATATAAGCAGACAGAAAATAGTACTATAGGCTGTATCTATACGTGAGTAAGTGCATGTGAATTAGTATAGTGTAAACTTGTACTGTAAAATTGTAAAATCAATATCCATATTGATACTATCAGGGGAGATCCTATGTATGTTTGAGGACGTAGACACAGAGACAAGGCATGGCCACTATGATTAATAGGAAAATGTTATAGCTATTCACAATCTGTGTTTCAATAGCTATGTATAGTTCAACAAGGGGGTCTTTTATTCTACTATGGGCTCAACTAGGTGACTTTCATGTGGCATTTAGTGCCACATACTTTGCATTATATTTGGTTGGTTTGGCAATAGTGACAATGTCAGTTGCATCCATGGCCACAGAAAATCTAGCAGTGAGCAATCTTACTCGGCTAGCTGACATTGTGATGATTATTGGAATTATCTTCCTTTTGATGTTTTTGGGTGTATACATTCTTTTAATATACCCTATAGGAGTCCATCCTATTTTGTTCCGTCACATCTCTTACTTCATTTTCAGGATGGTCATTCCATTTTCTGGAAGTTACGGTAAGTTTAAGCCAACTGACAATGTCAAGGTGAAGGGGGTGAATGCGTTGGAAGCAACAAAAGAGGATAAAGATAGTAGTGAACCCTAGCAAGGGATTGATAGCATACCTAGTCAGCATAATCCACCTGATGTTACTTATCAAAGAAAGATGAGGAAGCTAGATTCTATTATGCAGATTTGAATTAGTGCATTCTGCTTTTTAATATTTGTTGCATTGTTTATGAGTTGGTTAGCTAAATAGGTGGGCCAAAGGTTGTTAGGAGGTTTACCAACATTCGAGTTTGTTTCTATTATGTATTAATTATTCTAATGTAGCTTCAGCATTATAAATAGGCTAGAAATCATCAAGGCTGGTCATATTGAAAAATAAAGAATGTTTTCATTCATTGGAAATTTGCCTACCTTGGCTGGTGAGCTTTATTTGAGCGAGATTCTTGCTCTACAAGACTTGTTAATAGATTTATATCCTGTACTGTTTTTGCCTACTATTTTGGTACCTATCAATTTGGCATCAGACCCTTGTCTGAGATGATGACCATACTTTCCAATATTCCCTGCTAACTCATCCAACAACCCATCACCTCCTAAAGCCTTAGAAAATCCATTTGCTTCTTTATCAAACCCATTAACTACCATAGCGTCCAGACTTGAGACACTTGAAGTGTTGATAGATAAAGTACCTGCAATCAAAGCTACATCTGCTTGAAACTGCAACAATAGGGAAGACTCTGATGCAAAGACCTCGTTCTCAATGGGAAGAAGAAAATGAAGAAGACGATGCCTTATGGTGGCCTAGACGTATGCCCATCACACCAAAATTGAATTTCCCAAATTCAAAGGAGGTGATTTGCATGGTGGATTTTTAAAGCTAAAAAATACTTCGGCTAAATACCAAATCATTTAAAGGTTGGTGTGGCCTTCATATACTCTGCTTTATAGTTGGTTGGTTTTGGTTTTAGTTACTATGTTAGTTGCGTTCATGGCCGGTGTGTACCAGGTTGTGAGTAATCTTTCTTGGCTCGTTGACATTGTGATGATTATTGGAATCATCTTCCTTACTTTTGTTTCTAGGAGTTTATATTCTTCTAATATTCCCTCTAGGAGCAAGTCCTCTTTTGTTGTATAATCCCTTTCACTTCATATTTAGGATGATCATTCCGGGTTCTGGATGTTATGTAAATTAAAGAGGAAGGTTACTGAGAAAAAGTGTTCAAATAACTAGAAAAAGGACAAGACAAATCTGAACACCAGCAAAGGAGGATAAAGATACTAAAAGATCATCCCATTTTCTTACCTGCTTTTCAAGAAAGGAATTAACTAAAAGGAGAGGACCCTACTTATTTGGACTTTCTGTTGGGATTTATTCCTCAGCCAAGCATGTTTGCTGGGACACTTTGGCATTGTTGTTCTGTAGTGATTGGTTTGATACACTAATAAACTATCTCCATATTTTAGTATGACTTGATTTCAACCTCATTTTGGGAAGACAAATACCAATGTATTCCTTTCACACTATTTATTAAGACTAGTTGACTAGAATAAATTTGATTTAGCACTGTAAATTCATTAATTGTCTATAGTAGTTCTATAAACCTTATGAATGATTATTAGCATAGACATGTCAACTCTTTACGATTATCTGCAATTTTATGTAAATATAAAGGAAAGGCATAAGGTAGAAGAAGAAAGCAAATGGATATGCTCACCAAGACATGTCCCTTTTTTCTGGCCAACTCAAAAGAGACATGTCCTTGAAGTTCTTTTGGTTGAAAGAATCTTGGTTTGGTTTCACCTTAACTGATGCATCGCTGTCATGAACATTTGATTACAAAGATTAAACCGTACAATTTGATCACTCAGTTTAAAATATCAATATTATCATAGTACTTAGTCTTTTATGATATTTTTCAATTACCTTTAATATGAAAATCTAACGGAAGAGATTGGGAATAAGAGACGAAAACATTTGGATGTTTGTATGCTTGCCTCTATGTGCGTCTATAGGTCCATGAAAGTAATTGGATATGCTCAAATTTTGATTGAAATAATCAATATTCAATATTAAGATGGAAAATTTGAATTTTTTTTTGTAGATCAATTTTAAATTTTTAAAGGTGAAAAAAAGTTATGTGCAACTAATTCAAAATTCATGAGAATTTTACATATTTTAGCTTAATATTTAGGAAAAATATTAGCCGAAGACCTTTCAAGGTAATTTATATCAGTGAAGGATTGTAAGATTCTAAAATTGTATTACAGTCCCTTGGTAGTTGGCTGAAATTAAGTTTTTATGGAAAAAGATGACATTACTTCTAAAGCGTAAAATAATAATAAAAAGCCCGTGTTGAAGTCCGAATATGTTGTTAATTTCAAATAAATTATTTTCAAATTTGAATGAATACTTATTAATGAAAGACTAATATAATTAAACTCATCTTATCAGTTTTTTTGTCTTATTAAAATTCGAATGTGTTGTTGTTAATCATGAATGAGTTATTATCAAAATTTGAATGGTTTGTTGTTCATGAGGGGCGAATATTTGTTCCATTAAACCTGTGCTTAATTTTTATATCTTGTTAAAGTCTAAATGCATTATTCTTAATCACTAATAGAATATTTTTATTGAATAATTTTTTTTAGTTGAATAACATTTTAACCCTCATAAAAATATAACATAATTAATAATAGGGAGTTTTGCAAAACAAAATTAAAAATTAGGAAGGTTAATTTTAAATTTTTAAAAGTGAGTGAGGTTATTTACAACTGTCTCAAAATTCAGAGAATTTTATACATTTTAGTCTTTTTTATTATTATTTTAGAATTTAAGGGTAATATAATCTTTTCCTATAAAAAATTTATTTTAGCAAAGTGTCAAAGGACTGTAGTGGAGCTTCAAAATTTTATGATCTTTTTTTTATATAAATTACCTCCAAGTTCCTTGACTGATATTTTCCCTAATGTCTAATATAAAAGACCATAAAAAATAATAAATGTTATCTAAAATTCATTCATATTACTTTCAATTAATTGTTACATAGTATATGTTGCCATGTGAGTTTATTAACTCCTTATAACAGTGGATTATTTAAATTTATTATGTACATGCATATATTATTTATTTAATTATTATGCCAATTGTTCACCCATCTAACTTCCTAAACCATAAAAATGGCTCACTGTCATTTATGATTCAGTTTTCAGTTCCACTTTGAAGATAATGCATGTAACTCGGATGCCTCCACATTTTTCATATTAAAAGATCAAATACATTAAATTATAAAAAAAAGTTAGTACAAAAAACACAAGGAAGAATGACAAAGAGGTTCTAAAAAGATTAATTAATTCAATTTAAGTCTCAAATGTCAAACTCTAAAAATTTATAATTCAATCTCTTAATTTTGCAATTATATTGTGATAAATTTATAACTTATTTTTTAAATTTTAACATGATTGATGAATAAAAAATTTATTTTTCCTATTAAAATTTAAAATACAAGTTATAAATTCATTACAACAAAATTATAAAATTAAGAGATTCAATTTCAAATTCTTAAAATTTAACACTTGAGACATAATTTGAATTAATTGATCTTTTTAAGACCTCTATATTATTATTTCAAAACACAACCACAAACTATCCACACAATGTAAGGAAGGAACATACTCGTTGGGCCCAACCGTAACATGTAATCCTGCATGGTTTTTGGATGTGGATGCCTCCACATTGGATTTCTTGTGTAATTGAATTTCCCAGCAATGTAGCAGACTGAGACTCCTCACAAAATCCTGAGCGTGAGAGCCTTCAGTCATTTAGAGGAATCTTCATGTAAGAAAGTTATTTGGATATCTATCATATTGGAGACAAATAGACATGTGTCTTCATCCATGAAGAAAAACAAACTCACTCTTCAAAATAGCCTTGGACGGATCTGTTTACTTTTCACATTAGGCGTTGGTCTTAGCGTGTTTAGTTTCATTTTTAAATTTTTTTAAATCAAATAGATCGGTGGAGTATTTGGATTTTGAAAATAATGCATCTACCGTGTGACGTCACAAGCGTGAATGTCTTTATGAGCAGTTGAGTTTCCCTACAACGCAATGGACATTTCCTTCCTTCCAGAGTCTTCACAAAATCTGCGGACATGAAAATCTAAACTGTGTTTTATGTCTTTTACCACACATTGCATGAAGCTTACGCGAAACATACCTGGAAACTTCGCTGCTAGACTGCTTTTAAAGGAAGACCTGTAAATGCTAGTTTGATACAATAACATTGGGCAGTAGCTAGTCTAATGGATCGTTCTACAACAACTCCTAGATTATCAATTCTAGCTCTGAGAGAAATATGGGAGAACACAATAGAGAGTTTGAAATATCGAGAGAGAAAACGTACTTGTGGAAATCCTCCTCCACCTTCAGAATCAAACCACTTGAAGGAAGAATTCAGAGCATCAAAATTAATGGCACCTGAGTTGTTTTGGGCTGTTACGTCCGATAATGTGTCTAATTTCCTTACAGTGTTAGAGGAATTGGCTTCGGGGATGTAATGCTTGTATCAGACATCCTAGAGCAAGTAACCCGTGGAGGAAGCACCATACTTCACCTAGCAGTTCAAAATAGAAGCCAAGAGATTTTGCAACTAATTACTAATCACTAATCACTTCCCCCAACTAATCACAAGGACTAACATAGCAGGAAATACGGCTCTTCATCTTGCTGCTAGAAATAAAGGCGATGGTTTAATCAATATAATCCTAACCTGTTATGCAGAAAAAAGGCTTTCTTCTGGACGCCAAATTTATGACGAAACAGAGATGAATCTGTTGAGGATAAAGAATGAGATTGGCAACACGGCATTGCATGAGGCTGTGAGGAAACTTCATCTTGATGGTGCTCGTCTCTTGTTTGAAGCAGATAAAGATACGGCAAATTATCTGAATAATGAAGGTAAATCACCACTGTACTTGGCTGTTGAGACTGGGCATGATGATATTATTGATCTTTTGCTGCAAGCTCCATTACAGAATCGGGAGAGGCACCATGGAACCTCCCCACTCCATGCTGCTATTATGGCTATGAGTTCAGGTAAGGTGAACTAAAATGGTCTAGTTGAAAATTGACAGAACAAAATGAAAGGAAGTGCCAATTATTATTATTATTATTATTATTATTATTACTATTATGTTGGGAACCAGAAAGAAAGTGCCAATAATTTCAAACCTGTTTACACTTTTATACAATATTCTCTGCAGATCAAATAAGCAAACATAAATTTCAACCCTTGGTTGAGGGTTGGGTGACAGACAGTGCCACAAATTTTGAGGCTTCCCTAGCCAAAGGAAAAAAAAACTTACTGTGGTATGATGAATTACTCCAATTTGAGTGAAATTATATCAGTTTCACAAAAATTAACATCTAAAGTAAACTTTCATATTAACCCATGATAATTGCAAGATTATAAGATTATGGCTCTAGAGAGAGAGAGAGCAGAAAAAGTATAAGAACGATTTTGACTTGGGCATTTTAGCTTGTTCCAATTTTCCTTTAAAAAATCCTTCCATTTCCTCATTTCAATTCAAATGTATTAGTTTTTTATTGTTCTAATTTCATGCATTTCACAGAAAATACTAAGAAAAAATTCTGAATTAGTCTACTTGAAAGACCAGAAAGGTGGGACAGCCCTGCATTTAGCAGCATCTATGGGAAACCTTGAAGTTGTGCATACAATTTTAAATGAGTGTCCTCCAAGTGCCCTAGAGTGGGATCTCAAAGGATATCTTCCTATCCATGTTGCTTGCAAAAAAGGTCATATTAATGTAGTTAAAGAATTTGTTCAAAAACCAAAACCATGGTTTGATCCAATGGATTCACTGAATCAAAAAGGTCAAAATATCCTCCATATTGCAGCTAAAAATGGAAAAGACAAAGTAGTAAAGTATATATTAAGAGAAAAGAAGCTTAAGAAGCTACTAAACAAAGAGACAAGAATGGGAATACCCCATTGCATTTGGCTTCCGAATACTTGAACCCGAAGATATTGCTATTGCTGACTCAAGAAAAGAGACTCAACATCAACCTAGTGAATAAAGAAGGCATGACAGCCCGTGATATTGTCATGCTCAGGAGGAGGACACCACCAACTTTTAGAGAGGTATGATTAGATGTATCTCTGCACTTATTTTAATCACGAACTAGAAATTTTGACCAAAGATACAATCCATCTTTGTTCTTATTTTAATCGATAAAGATAAAAAACTATTTAATAATAGGGATGATCACAAGGTTCCTCTCTCTGTTATCTGCAGTTTCTATCATTCACAATCTTGAAATCTATTGGCACCCCCTTGAGTGAAAATGGAAGAAGAATCAGGCGTTCACATACTGAACCACCTCAGATCAAATGGATCAAGGATCGTGTCAGCGCTATCTTACTTGTAGCAATATTAGTTGCTACTGTAACCTTCACAGCTGGTTTTACCATGCCTGGTGGTATCTATAGCTTTGATGACAAAGACAAGAAGAAAAGAGGCATGGCCACTTTTCTTAACAAATACATGTTCTAACTATTCACAATCTGTGATGTGATAGCTATGTATAGCTCTACCATGGGGTCTTTCATTCTGCTATGGGCTCAGCTTGGTGACTTCCATATAGCATTCAATGCCACATACTTTGCTTTATATTTGGTGGGTTTGGCTCTGCTTACAATGTCAGTTGCATTCATGGCTGCAGTACATCTAGTAGTCAGCAATGTTTATTGGCTCACTAACACTGTGATGATTATTGGAATCATCTTCCTTTTGATGTTTCTGGGTGCATTTATTCTTCAAATATTCCCTTTAGGAGAACGTGCTCTGTTCTTTCATCACATCTCTAACTTTATTTTTAAGATGATCATCCCAATTTCAGGAAGTTATGGAAAGTTGAAGGTTAAGAAGATGAAAGCGATGGATGAAACAAAAAAGAGCATAGACAAACAGGGCACCAAACGAAGAACAAAAATGCTTGTAAGACAATGTACTTTTTAGCCACTTTTCAAATAAAGATAACAACCGAAAGGAAGGGAAGATTGCACTGGTCTGGCTCTCATCTTATAGATCATGTCTTGGACTATTTGATATTTTATGTGTAGTTTGTCATAGTTTGATTATACTAGTTTAGGGGGACCATTATCATAAACTGTTTGCCACTTCATTACTCAATTTTTTTTTTTTTTTGGAGATGATACTTCATTAGTTAATTTGATAGAAGAATTTTCAAGTTTGGTTTAATTTAATCTAAGATAGCATTTGGATTGATGAATTTGAATTTAAATTTTAGATTTAAAATCTCACATTTAAAATTTATATATTTAAAATTCTTTATTTGGATAGTATAAAAAAGTAAGAGAGATGAGCTGAGATTTAAAGTAGAGACTGGAGATTAGAAGTGATGAGCTTATCTATATTCTTTAATTAGAAAGATACAAGAATGAGAGATGAAACAAGTGGCAAAAATAACAAAGACACCCATAGTGAAATCGTGAAGCAAAAGAGAGGGTTGAGCAGCTAAAATTTCAAATAACTAAGGTCTAGATGGAATTTAAAATTACAAAAAAAGTTATAATAAAACATGTATTTAAATTTGGATCAAATACAAATTCAAAGACTTTAATGTATCCACATGGAGGATTTAGTTCAAATCCAAACCTCATATATCCAATCGCACACAACAACAACAATCATTATCCCACTAGGTGGGGTCAGCTACACGGATTATATGACACCATTGTCCTCTATTATTTATTAAACTTTTAGAAATATTATTAAGAGATCTCAATTAACAACTTTCAAAAGTGTTCTTTTTGACCTTTCTCTGCCCTTCTTAACAAGGTTTAAAGTTATCTGTGCCACTCTCCTCATAGGTGCCTCTTGTAATCTTCTTTATACATGTCCAAATCACCTCAAATGATTTTCTATTATTTTTCCTTTAATAGATGTGACACCCACTTTTTCCTGTATGCACTAATTTCTGATTTTGTCTTTTTTAACGTGTATGTTTGCACAACCATCTCAACATTTTCATGTCTGCTACTCCAACTTTATACTCTTTTTGTCTTATTAAAGCCCAACATTCACAATTCAATAAAACTTTCCTTTAAATTTATTAGATACCTTACAATCACAAATAACTCTTTTAACTTTTCTCCAATTAAACTACCCAGCTTGTATCCTTTGTGCAATATCTTCATCAATTTCTCTATTATGTTGAATAATCGCTCCCAAATATTTAAAATTTTTCACTTGAGGTATAATCTAATCACCTAATTTCATTTTCAAATTACTAATCATTGATTGCTTATCAAAATTTCAATATAGATATTTTGTCTTGCTCCTACTTAGGCGAAAACCTTTTGACTCCAATGTCCTCCTCCATAACTCAAATTTACAGTTAACCTCTTCTCTTATCTTCGTAATAAGAACTATATCATCCGCAAAAATATACATTTAGGATTTCCTCTTAAATATGCTCAATCAAAACATTTAAGACCAATACAAACAAATAAGAACTTAAAGATAATCCCTAATGTAGTCCAATACAGTCTTTCCCAAAATTTGACGTTAAATTTAACACCAGATTTCAACATGTGGTCTGCTTCTTTGTTTGGCTTAGAGTCTAAACTACATATATCGTGTTAAAGGATACAGCTCATCTCATAGCTTTAAGGCTGTTGCCACGGGCAACTCTGTTGCCTACATAGCTTTCAATATCCTCTGCTAATTGCTCAAACTTGCACATGAAACAAACTAACAGACCATTGACATGTACCTAAAACTGACACATTGAAATATAGTTTCTAGTTACATGCATACAACAATAGAATTATGTATATCTGCAGGAGTAAGCAGTTTAATTAATAAATATGTCTTTGATGATTCCATCATACATGATTGAGTTGCAAAAACTTCTAGATAGGTATCACATAGCTGAACTAAATTCTTTCTGATTAAAGAATCTCTTTCTAGTTGCTCTGAAACAATTAGGAGATTCTCTAGAAAAAATACGGGATTCTATTTCTGGTGGCAACAAGCTATGAGGGGTGGTCGCACTTATGGGCTCAAATCAATATGTTCTAAGAAGAAATATTTGAATCTCATTGATCTCATAAGTATCATATCAAATCCCATCAATCAAATTGCTTTTTTAAGAAATACGAGACATCTAAGTCATATAAGTAAAGTGATCTATTCCTTGATAAGAAAAAGAAAAAACGTGAATGGTGATTGGATTGATGATAAAATAAAATCTTGAGTCTCAAACAGTGATTGATTGATGATAAAGAAAGAGAATTCTTGGTTCAACTCTCTACCTTAACGACAAAAAAAAAAGGATTGATCAAATTCTATTGAGTTTGACTCATAGTGATCATTTATCAAAGAATGACTTTAGTTATCAACTGATTGAACAACCGAGAGCAATTTAGTTATGATACTTAGTAGACATTCATAAAAAGTATCTAATGAATTATGAGTTGAATACATCCTATTTAGCAAAAAGATGAATATTCCTTGCTCATTATCAGACAATCACTTATTCACAAATCCCATGTGAGGCACATAGGAGTTTGTTGCTGGGTATTTGACCAAATAGGTGATCCAAAACCCTAATCTTATTTGTGCCCGATGAGTCTTGTTAAATCCTAGTAGTAGTCAAAAATGGCCATGCATGGCCAGCAAACTACACGAGGCACCCAACGGAAATGTAATTTTTCAGATATTTCAATGCTCAAGTAAAAGCACGATAAAGATAATATAGTTCACTAGAATTAACCATAATGTTTAAATAACTAATAAAGAAATAGTATTAAAATTTAAATAAAGAAATTTTATAAACAATTACTAGAAATTCATTCGGAACGCTACCCACTCACCTGAAAGTTTTTCAATAGTTTTCAAATTTGCTTCTCTTACTTTACACCTTTATTCTAATGATGTCCTTAATGTCCTGAACAATAAATCAAAATTTTAAATACTTTATCAAATAATTTTTTGAACACTTAATGAGCATTTAAATTCAATCCAACAATATTAAAAATAATACAACAACAACAACAACAACAACAACAAGCCTTTATCCCACTAGGTGGGGTCGGCTACATGGATTGCAAGACGCCATTGTGCTCTATCATTTATTAAGCTTTTAGAAATATTATTAATTAAGAGATCACGTTCAACAATATTAAAAATAATACTTTAACTAATTATGTTCCATGTATACTTGAGTTAGTTAAACTTTTGACAATTCTCAATTCATTCTCATATCTCCTCGTAACATATTTTCAACCATAAGTTATAATAACTCATATCAACTATTCTCTTACTTCCTTTAGATTTAATAACATATCATAAAGGCATTTCAGGCATTCCTTTATCCTATTTTTATATTTTTAAAATTTCAAAACTTACATATACTCCTTCAGTAATATTTATAATTCATCTAAGCTCTACTATAAAAAATTAACAATTTCATTTTCACCAATAAATTTTCAAGCACATTTACAAGTACCATGAGAGAATTTACCATTAACAAAATCATTAGGCAAACATCCAAGTAAATTCAACCATTTCTAACATTTAGTTTCTTCATCAATCTTTAACTCAACATTAATAGAATAACATCCAATATTATCCAAAATAGCTCCTAAATTCTTCATTCAAACATTTTCACAGGCATTTTGAGAGCATCCAACTTTAGCTAAATATAATCATCTAGCTATTTAATCAACTTTTCACATAAAATTTATCATCAACATTAAGGTTAGCATCACAATAAAATTCCACAGCATTAACCAATTTAGCTCCTTAATTCTCAAGCAAGTCACGGCAGCAACAAGAAAAGCAGAGGCAGAGTTTTTCACCAAAAACAAAGAAGAGGAAATTGAATTTATCATACTCACTCACACGGCACCCACTAGCTGAATAGGAAGCAAGAGTGAACGTGAAGATCAAGTAAACACACGATACGAACAGTTCAGGAGAAAGAGCATATAGGAACCGAACGCGCGCACCGCCACAGTCGGCCACTCAGCAGAAAAGAAATAAAGAACAGCAACTCACCAACGAAACTGCAGTAGCCCCCTTGAGTCTGCACATGACCGAAACTTAAGAAGGGAAAGAGAACATCTCCGAGCAGCACTTTCAGCCACAGAACAGCAAAAATCAGAGCAGAAATTCAGCTCAGTACCAGACAGCAAACGGACCAACAGAAGAAACGAACCAGTGAAGGAAGAACCACGCCGACGGTGAGGAGAAGAACAAGCCGGAGGTGAGGAGGAAGGGTTCGACAGTGACGAGAAGGGGGTAATCTATGGTCGGTGAAGAAGAGATTTGCGAATGCTGTGTTTTTTATTTTCACTGGCAGACATAATCTGGTCAAATAAATTTTAGGGAAAATAGCCAAAAAAAAAAGGCACAAGGAAAATTATAAAAATAAGCCAACTTTTCAATAATTTAAAATAAACTAAAATCAAACTTGTTAAAAAACTTTATTTAAATACAATATCTTTTAAAAAATATTTAAATTAAAATTTAAAATCATTATAGCTAATCTCTTTTTTTAACTCTAGTGTGCGTTTAGGCTCCAAACTTTTGACATGGATTATCAATTTTAGTGGTAAAAATAATACTTTTTAAAAAATATTTTCAAACACTCTAAATGGCATTTAGGCTGTTTGTTTTAACCTATTTTATAAAAAAAGTTACTTATTCTTGAAAAAGAGTTCATATGTAATTTGATAAATTATAAGTTTAGAAATTATTTAATTTCTAAATTTATATTTGATACATTATAAACTTAAATAATTAAATTTAAAATAATTTGTCTCACCGTTAAATAAAAACAAACCTCGGCTACTTTTAAAACAAGTGGATCATGTATGCAGTTTTCTTTAAAATAAGATAGGAGAGAGAGAGTGTGTAAAATTTTAGAAAAATTATAATTAGGCCTTATTTTTTAAAAAAAATAATGAATGTTTATTTTAAGTTAACAATAAAAATAAAATTACTTTAAATTTAATTGTTTAGGATTTAAAATGTACTAAATACAAATTTAAGATTCAAATTGTTCATGAACATATAATTCCAGATCTAACTTAAATATTATTCCTTTTGAAAAACAACTATTTTGTAAGTTTTTATTATGTTTGTTTAAAATTTTAAAAAAAATTAGAATCTAAAAAAATAATTATTTTAATAATTTATTCAGTAACTGCTAAAAATAATCTAATATAATAAAAAGAGTATTTTAAAGAGATAAGGTATGTAAAAATATCATAAATTTTAAAATAATAAATAATAAATAATTTTTAAAAAATGAATATAACCAAATATAAAATAATCTCTGTTTCATATAACATCTCATCTCTATAAAATAATTTTTTTTATAAAATCTCTAAATTATTTAAAAATCTCTTAATTTTAAAACAAACAAGCCATAAATAGAAGTATTTAAATGTATTTTATTTTTATAAAATCACAGTTTTATCTATTTTGAATTTTTTTAACTTTTATTTTTAATTCTGTTTAAAATCAATCTTATTAATTAACTTTTTTCAAATCAATTATACGATATCACTAGAAAGACTTGTTAAATCATGTAAACTTCAATTAATTGACGGTGTTGTCGACAAATATGAAGTGAAGAGTTTATAACAACAATGATAATTTTTTAGCTTCTGTATAACTAATTACTTTTGCCTATACTCTGACCAAAATTGTAAATTAATGATGCCTCTACCTGCCACCAAATGCCACGCTACAAGACAGCTTAGCAGCAATTAAAAGCTCAATTTATTTTAAATATTTATAAGTAATAATTGGTTAAAACACCGAAGTAATTAATCAAACTAGATTACAGCCAAAATCATGTGCTTATTAATAATAATAACAATGGTAATAAATTATAACACTCTAACATACTAAATGAGGGTGTTCGTGATGCTTTATCTAGTAGCTATGAGTGTTGAATATATTGGCCTACAAGAAAATAATTATAATTGCGATGAATCTCCAAACACATGATGTTGGAGTAATCGAGGAGCATTTTTAAAAGTACTGCACGAAATAGTTGGGCATTTTTAAGAAAATGCTTTGTTACTTGTGAAGAAGTGCATAAAAAATAAAATTTAAAAAAAATTAATCTTTTAATTCTTTAATTTTAAATTCACTTCATTTAATTATGACTCGATGTAACTCAATCCCTTAACTATGACTCAATCCCTTAACTTTTGACTCATTTATAATTCAGTCTCTCAATTTTTATTAATTCTTTTTTTCACGTTAACTTAAATCTTACATCAAAAAGCAAGAGAATGGTATTTTAGACCAATATATGAGCATTTTTTTATACCTCTTATTTGATAAGAAAATTTTTAAAAAAATTAAAAATTAAGGATCGAATTATAAATTAAGGGATTGAATTACAGTGAGTCATATAATTAAGAGACTGAATTATAAATGAGTTAAAAGTTGAATTAAAAGATTAATTGTTTTAAAATTTTAAAACTAAAACTCTCAATCGAGATGGCCCACTGTCCAATCACCTTACAAATGTTTGTCTAATACTTTAATAATAAAAATATTGGAATGAGTGAATCAGATAGCATTGAACTGCTCACATTAAGATAAGGCAAAAGGAACAAATTAAGGGCCAGATTTTCGAGTTCAACTAAGCAATGGATTAAAAATCATGTTACTTCAAGGAATGAACAAAGGTCAAACAGC